TACCAGTCTTTGCACCGAGATGGAGTCGAGAGTCTATTATAAATTGTGACCTCGGGCTTGTTATGGATAAAAAACAATCAGGCTCCCACGCACATGGCTCCATCCCCATTTCCCCATGGAAGTTCCACTCCTGATTTCTTCTCTGATTTAACATATGGCTCGAGCCCCAAGTTCTCCCCCTTTTTTTGTGTTGTGGTCCGTTGTGGCTCTGGCTCCCTCCAATCGATTGCACAATTTTCCGCATTGTCGCCCTCTCTGTCCAAGCAACCGGCGGCTACTTGGCCGCGCCCATTTCGTGTCCAAGCTGTGCCCACGGCCTGCATATGAAATGATGTGCGATATCCACACCAAACCACACATAGCCACCCACACTGCCCACACCACCCTAGTGCCTTCCCCTGAGATTCCTGCAAGAGCAATATTTACTGTCAAAATATTATTCGCGCATATGGACTTGAGGACGTAATCCATAATTGGTTTGACCATTGCCATTTCATCCAATAAGTTAAAATTGGTTCAGGGATTGACATAACGACCAGCAGAAAAAATATTCGATTGTAAAGAAAGGGTAGGAAAGGATAAAATATTGATTTGGGTTGGAGTAATTCAAGGAGTACGAGTAATGAAAACCTTTTAGTAGTCATTTTTGCTAACTTCGAAAGGTCATCCTTTAATCAAAACTCTTTTGATCCAATCGCAAATCGATGGGCACTTAAATTCATGTAGTCTTCCACAATGTTTCACCCATTCATCATGACCCGACTATGTATCACCCATGCATTTTATTGACTCAATAACTCAACTAGCCGCAAGTCGAATCCCTAAATCATCTGGTCTAATGCTCTTCAAATTAGTCGACCATTTGTCAGATCAGTGCCCCGTACCCCTACCCCTACCCGTACCCATTTCCATAGCCATTCCTATACAGCATCCATCCCCTCCAATATGAATCATTCCGCCTAATGAATGTGTCTGTCACTTGCTGTCAACACGTTGCCGAGGAAGAGGCGGCCCCCACAGTCCACGGATACCGATCCCCGGATCTCCATAACGCAGGGCAGGGCCCGTACTCCCAAATATGAAATGGAGCGAACGGCAGCTAGGAGATGGAGCAAAAGAGCCTCGAAATCTGCGGCGCGCTATATTTAATACAGAGTGACATTAATGTCAGGCATAATTAGTCGGGGAAACGCCAGCGGAAAAGGCACCAACAGAAAAAGAAAAGAGAAGAGAAGAGAGAAGAGAAGAAAAACAGAAAATGTAGAAAAAGAAACAATCAAAAAACGATAAACGAGGCGAGCAGAATGGGCAACCAGAAATAATTTGACAGCCCTCCTGCTCCGACAGGGAGAAGATTGAAAGACACTGGGGCTGCGATTGAGGCTGAGGATGAGGCCGATCATCCGATGATGATCATTTTGTTATTGCAGCTTTCCGATTTTCAATTTGATTCATTTTTTTGGTACGTGTGTGAACCCGATGATCTATAAAATTCGACCTGGCCATGGCCTTTTGTCTAGGCGGCTGCTGTTCTGTTGCCAATTCGTAAACAAACAATTACCCAACAAAGCATCGGCAAATGGGCCAACAAAAAACCAAAAGACAGATAGACAGACAGATAGATACTACCCAGCCAGGGATCTCCTATATCCAGCTATCCAGAGGCGGGAGCCGCTTTAGACACCTTCCGAAAGAATATATGCCTAGAATGCTTACAATGGGAACTCAAGCACGGTGGCATCTATCTATGTGTACGAGTATACCCCAGTCCCAGTGTATCCCAGCATATAACAGCTACCAAATCCTCCATTCAATTGTCTGTTCGGGCTAATCCCCGCCTGCGGCTTCGCACAGACAACTCAATACTCCGCTACAGTTGCGATTGCGATGCGCTCGGATTGATCTCCCGATCTCTTTGTAGTTGTAATACCATCCTAGGGGGTTCTGTTTCTGTTCCATTCTGTAGCCGGTTCTGCTCTGCTAAAAAACAGCCCCCAGACAGGGCTCGTGTTTGGCGAAAATTGTTCTTTTTTATTGCAGTGTTGACGCTTTTTCACACAGTACGCGAGGCGCGTGGTATATTAAAAGCGAATCAGATAAAAAATATAGAGGAGAGTGTTTATATGGAGAGTGGAAAAGAGCAGATCTGATGGATGGCACAGTGGCTAATGCGGGAGGGATGTTTCAATCAATTTAAATCTATGAAAATGTGGATAAGGAGTACCTTTAATCTATGTACATATATGTCCCTGTTATAACTTACGTTATCTCATCATTTATGGTTGAGCCCCCAAATTTTTGAAATCTTTTTTAAGTATTATCCCATTAAACAATCTAATATTTAGAGTTCTGTGATTTTTAATAGCCATTAAACAGCACTAGCTTCACCCCACTGTGCAGAGCACCAAGAAGGCACTGCCACTGAGACTCCTCCGCCTGCCTCCTGCCTTCAGATCGGTAGCCACAACTCGTGGCAACCACATGAACGGCGTCTGCAGTTGGGGGCGGCTAAGATCAAAGGCAGCGGCAAGAAGGCGGCCTGGAAAACGGTTAAATCTTTTGAAATGTGCGCACTTTTTGACACCCAATTTGTTTAGAAGTGTGCGCCCCATCTGGGGGATGGAAGGGAAAATGGGGGGCACAGCCTCCTCAAGCAGTTCATAAAAACGGGCCAAGAGATTCTCGTACAGGGAGTGAACAAGAGATATAGATAGGTATACATATATATATAGAGAGAGACAGAGAGAGAGAGATATCCCATAAGTACGAGTATTAGTGGGCAGGTTTTTCTGCGAATTTCATTAATAAAACTGTCGAAAGTGCTACCCCACGCCCCACGCCCCTGGCCCTGCCCCTCCCACCAATAGGTAGAACAATCAAACGAAAACTTTTGATATGGCATTTTTGTTTTTAATAAAAATTCAAAAGATTTACACCTCCTCTACAACCCGTATTTCCACTTAAAATTCTGTAATAAGAAATATCATGGGGTTCAACAGTAGGAGTAGAAGGAGGTGTGTGGTGTAGATGTGGGGGCAGAGAGCATATTCCACTTAGTTTTTCATTCATGAAAATGAAAACCAAAGCAAACGCTTTATTAAGAATTTTTCCAGATAAAAATGGGAAAAATGGGATAATAATAAGTTTATTGATTTGGGAAATGCCACAAAACCGGATGTTTATACGGTACACACATCATCATCACCATCATCATCATCATCATCATCATCATCATCATCATCATCAACAACGATCATCAGATGGCAGATTGAAGGGATCTTTGGACTAAGAAACGTGTGAAATGTGTACGGGATTAGACGGGTTCAGCAGCACCGGAAGGCTGGTGCAGATTCCGATTCCCGATAGCCGATTTCCCCACTTTTCCCAGCGCCCAAATCCTAAGCAGCAAGTTGCCAAGTTGGTAAGTCAGTCCACTGCTTAGCCAAGATACGGAAATTCCCTCATCCATTGCCGTTTCCATATTGTCCAAAGTCAAAACATGCGGTTTTTGTGTTCGCGCATCAAGTTGGGAAAAGGCCAAAAACAGAGAAACATAGGATACAGAGGGCTCGATTTATTTGTACAAAATGACTTTGCAAATGAGATTCGGATTCGGATACACATAGGCCTGACCAATGTGTCAATATTATCATGGGCCAGGGACTCAGACGTCGTCCAGGCGACCGCCTATGCAAACAGCAGAACAGACCTACAAAAATTGAGCCTCGAACTACCTGCTGGGACATCGCGGCTCAGTGTCCATGTCGTAGGTGTGCATATTTCTGTTAATTTCCAACACCTTCGGCACTCGAATATGTCGGGCTCGCAACGTGACCTGTGGCCTCTGGGCTGGATTTGCTTTATGAATGGGTGTCCACAACCTGCCAATGGCCACATGTACTCATAATCGATGTGATTAGGCCGTGCCGTGCCGTGGACGTGGACCATCTCATGCCTAACCCTTGGGGAACCATAGACGAGACGAGAGCGCAATCAATAGTTCTCAATCGAGCAGCACAGGGAATTCGGTGACGTATTTGGACAGCCACTGACAGAGCAAGCAGCAGGCCCAAAAGAAACAACCAAGATCAGTTTGGGAATTTCTTAGCTGGATTTTAGATGCTCTTTTCCAAATGACCAAGATATGTTTCACTAAAATTGTAGGGTGCTCTAGTAGCTTTAGCTGGATTAAAAGAAAAGTTATATATGTACTTAACTTGTATATTTATTATTTCAATCAATAATCTAGCTAATATACTCTTTTAGAGCAGAGTACAACATCGTCTTGGTCCAAAAATAACTGCATGACTTGGCGATAAATTATTGTTGGGCAGCGCAAGCCCAAAGGCAAGAGTTAGAGAAGGAAATGAGCTGCACTTAAATGCATGCGAGAAAACCACTCGATAAGCCAACAAGTGGATAAGAAGCCACCACACAAATGATGCCCAAACGAACTATCAATGTCAGTGAATTGGCAAAAAATGTAAACTCAATTTGTATGCAGGCCAGAGTCCGGTCCGAATCGACGACAAGGAAACCCTTTACTTGACACACCTCAACAACCGAACGACGACGACCGACCAACCGCTCAAGTGCTCCACCACATCCACATCCATGCTGCGTCTGCCTTTGCATTAATAGTACATACATATCTACTTATGTATGTGTGTGAGTGCAGTGCGGTGATGAACACCCAGTCGGATTGGGGTAAGCCGCTAAAGCATGCGTAACAATGGTCCCGGCACATCGATCGTTAATGATCGTTAAGGCAAAGAAGGACCACAGCGATGATCGGGCACATTTCGAATGCCCAAAGAGTTGGGGGCTCCATTCATTGATCGTTTCATGGCCCCAAATGAAGTGCTCGACAGGATAGGGATCGTTCTCTTCGATATCGGTTTTCATGATTACTCTGTATTATTTTATTTCGTACATGTGTGTATTCCTCCATATGCCCTTCATATTCATCTTAAGCCTAAATACAATACAAAGCGCTCACATAATTGGAATCTGCAGCCAACATTTTTGTTAATCAATATATCAATATACAGGGTGCGTAAATATTAAAGTACAGAAATATAAAATATAAGAATAAGATACAATTTTAAAGCGAATAAACCATATGCGCACATGCAGCGCAGCGTGAATACTTCTTAATACGTGCCATGCAGCTGGTCTTTTGAGTTTCCCGATCTCTAGCCAATAGTGGAATTTGATTTAAGGTTTAAACTTGCAAGCCACAAATGCGTCTAAGGTCCGAAAAAGGGGGCCGGGGTGGGGATGGTTAAGGAGGACTGCTTGCGGCAACACTTGTCTTTTCACAACAATTATCTAGTTTGATTTTGAATAATTCGCATTGGCATTCATTCGCTCTAATTCTTTAACTGAAAGACGAGTATCAAGATGATGGCCAGCAAAACGGCGCTCAGTATTCCCACCATTATCAGCTTCTTCTTGCGAACTTTGTTCTGCAAATACCGAAAAAGACAAATTAGAGATTATGCACTTCTCAGAATAATTCATCACTCACCCTATAAGAACTCGCCTTGCGGAGATTCTCCGTTCCCTGTGAGACGAAAATGCTGGTTTGCTCCACCTGCGACTCGATGGAGTCCACCGTCAGGCCCTGTTCGTAGACCAAGGCACCCAGTTTCTTATAGATCTCGTTGACACCCACAATATTGTTCTCCAACTCCCGGATGACCTGCTCCTGCTCCTCCAGCGCCTGCAGGTCGGCTTGCTCCTGAATTTGTGTCTGCTGCTGTTGTTGATTGGATTTTCGATTGAAGAAATTATCCTCGAAAAAGGAACCGTTATCCTGGCTGGCGCTGCTGTTGGAGCTGCCAGTGCCAGTGCGCGAGGAGCCGGGCGGACGGGCAATGTTGTAGTTGTCTCCTCTCGCCTGCCGCAAGGCACTCTTTTCAATGTCCGCCGTCTTCCGTTGAACGGCCTAAAATTAGCAAAAATCGCAATTTTGATAATGATTTTTTGATGACTCATACGAAAATTTTGCTTATCTTTGGGCGTAAACAAAGCCATACGAACCTGGAAGGAGGTCAGTGCCGCTGTAAACTCGTCCACCAGCCGATCGCGCTGGATTTTCAGGTGCCGCTCCTTGCACTTGTCCACCTCATTGATTTGATTGTTGGTATCGTTTACCAGTTGGTTGGTGTAGGTCATAAGTTGGTGCCTGTATGGAGGAGGCATTTTAATGTCGCATTCTGACAATTTGATAACTTCCACCTGGCATACTCTTACTTACAGCTGTTTCTTTAACTCCGGTGAATCCTGTGGGGTGTTCAGCTGACTAACCATGCGCTGCATAGTTGATACTGAAAAACAGAATATTCGTATTAGTCATCGTCTTCCAAATGATGGCACTTTCTGTAAAACTGCACCATTTTGTTGGACTTTCAGAATGCTGGTGGCGATTATCTGCGCCAGACGCTGAAAGTCGATCTCGCTGAGGCCCCCTCCGCCGCCGCCAAGGCCACCGCCGTTCTCCATATGCTGCAAGTCCATGCTTTCGTAGGCCGACACCTTGCTGACCTTCAGCTTTTACGTGGCACACAAGAAGCAAGTCCTGCAAGTCAATTGGATCACAATTAAATTAGCCGCGTCTGTCCGCCAACACTTATATCATTATATGCGTCTCAGGTGAAGACTCTATTCTATCTTTGTGTTTGTGTGTTGTTTGCGAAAGTGTCGCCCTTTGTTTAATGCTTTTATTTGGTTTGCTCCGATTGTTCTGCTAGATGACCTTCGCTACGAATCTTTTATTTTAGCGCATCATTGACCAACAGATTCTACTGTTACAGCACACTCTATGATTTGTTTTTTAATGGCCAATAAAAAAAAAAAAACTATGCAAATATGCAATTTTTTGCTACAATCTTTTTCACAACCAGTGTGACCGCGGACTTATCGATAAAATATACCGACCGACCGTCAGAAATACACCAAAATATACCGTCTCATCTGAAAAATATACCGTAAATATACTGACGAATTCAAGTTCTAGATACATTTTCCTCGTTTTTAAAGTTTTAAAGGAATGTTACTAGCTATATAGAACATTTAGCCATGCCCACATAATTTTATCCGATTAATGAATCTATTTTCTAATTGACTGGTTTATTTTAAACACTTGCTTTTCTTGCATTTTGCGTATAAAGAGGTTTTAGCGAAAATGGTCAAACAAAAAACTTTTTTGCCAACAATTTAGAGATTCCGTTAAATAATTATGGTTAACTAAAACTCTTAGTTCTGCCCACATAATTTTATGCCGTTCATGAATAAATTGATTATAAGACTAACTGCTTTTAAGTACTCCCATTTATTGAATTTTGACTAAAACAAAAAAAAACTAAAACAAACAAATTCAATAAAAAATAACAGTCGCAATGTTGCTGGTATTTGAAGACTTGATACGTGTATATGCCTTTGTATACCTTATTTCGAAGATTTAATACAATCCTGTTTTCCGAACTGTTTTTAAACCGTAATTAATAAAGACCTTTTCTCAAATTGATATGTTTTAGACATATTTATACATATGATTTTTATCTAGTATATACATATATGTATATCTCCTGATACCAATTCTTGATCTCTGCAAGAATACAGTAAACTGCAAAATATCGTTGCGATATTTAAAACAGAGACTACAATATTTTGCCTTCTTTGAAGCCTGGGATGACAAACATATTCGCAATTCTATAATATCCAATTCCCCAGGCTATGCCCAGAAATATTTGCTTGAATTAGCACACTTTGTGTATGTCGTCAACCGGTTATTACCATTAAATACTCGTTTTTGATCTTCCCTCGAATATTATTAGCTATATATGTAGAGCTTTCAACTTTGCTCACATAATTTTATCCCGTTGACGAATACATTTTCTACAAAATTAACTACTTTTAGGTACTTTCATGTATTATATTTTGACTAAACACGGTTTACAAGTTAATGTTGCCCGCAGCACTGTGTATGGAATGCGCAATGGTCTCTGTAAGAAGACAATAAGCTGAAATAGCTTTAAAACAGAGACTAAATTGTTTTGGCCTGTAATGACAAACTTGTCTCAATTCTATAATATCCTATCCTTTTCCTAGGTTTTTCCATGTTGCCGCAACAACGAACGCGATTTTTGCTTTCGGCCAATGAAAGCATTGCAAAACAACCGTTTTAACCGGTTCGTAGTTTGGCGGTATATTTAAATCCAACTCATGAAAAACTAAGTTTATATGGATATATTATATGTGGTGTGTATCAAGTACATATTAAAACTAACATACTAGTACCAATTGAGGCCCGTTAAAGTGACCAACATGGCAAGTACCCTGCTGAATAGCATGATGGCAGGAAACGGCCGCGACAGAATGTTCGGATGTGTCGTGTTAATATTCCCCAATAATTGGGGCATATTCACCCTAAGTCGATATTCAAGTACAGTAATTAAGTACATAATTTAAAAGTATGGAATCAGCCTCATTGTTAAAAACCGGGCCATTCCCGACTCAAAAAAAAAACGACGAATTCCTCGATTTTGATCTTCCGTCGAATATTACTAGCTAGCTAAGACCGTCAGCTCTGAGCTCTTAGTTTTATCCGATTATTAAATCAATTTCCTACAAGACTGGTTAAATTTAAGTTCCCATGTTTATTGGATTATTTATAAAATAGGCTTTAGCAAAAACAATTTCCATCAAATTAGTTTTCATTCATGGGCTTCATATTAAGATCGGTGAAGGACCAGCACTCCCAGGATCGCGAGGCTACAGACGGTCGATCGGTGTCTCGCCCAGATCGGCAGCCCTATTGCAGAGATATAGCGTTCAGAAGAAACCAGTATTTCAATTATACGCCAATCTTCCGTAGGCTATATCTCAGACAATGAGGGCGAGATCGGTGAAGGACCAACTCTCCTAGGATCGAGAGGATCCAGACTGTCGATCGGTGTCTCGCCCAGATCGGCAGCCCTATTGCAGAGATATAGCGTTCAGAAGAAACCAGTATTTCAATTATATGCCAATCTTCGGTAGGCTATATCTCAGACAATTAGGGCGAGATCGGTGAAGGACCAACTCTCCTAGGATCGCGAGGATCCAGACTGTCGATCGGTGTCTCGCCCAGATCGGCAGCCCTATTGCGCAGATATAGCGTTCAGAAGAAACCAGTATTTCAATTATATGCCAATCTTCGGTAGGCTATATCTCAGACAATTAGGGCGAGATCGGTGAAGGACCAACTCTCCTAGGATCGCGAGGATCCAGACTGTCGATCGGTGTCTCGCCCAGATCGGCAGCCCTATTGCGCAGATATAGCGTTCAGAAGAAACCAGTATTTCAATTATATGCCAATCTTCGGTAGGCTATATCTCAGACAATTAGGGCGAGATCGGTGAAGGACCAACTCTCCTAGGATCCCTAGGATCCAGACTGTCGATCGGTGTCTCGCCCAGATCGGCAGCCCTATTGCAGAGATATAGCGTTCAGAAGAAACCAGTATTTCAATTATAAGCCAATCTTCCGTAGGCTATATCTCAGACAATTAGGGCGAGATCGGTGAAGGACCAACTCTCCTAGGATCGCGAGGATCCAGACTGTCGATCGGTGTCTCGCCCAGATCGGCAGCCCTATTGCAGAGATATAGCGTTCAGAAGAAACCAGTATTTCAATTATACGCCAATCTTCCGTAGGCTATATCTCAGACAATTAGGGCCAGATCGGTGAAGGGACAACTCTCCCAGGATTGCGAGGATCCAGACTGTCGATCGGTGTCAAAATCTCGATTTCGAAAATGAGGCCGATTTTCGCAAAATTTAATGATGTAACCATCATGATTTTGTGCGAAAATCGTGAAAAAATGGATGTCCTTCATTCCGATTTCAGTAGATTGGCAGGATTCTCCCGATCACGGAAATACATGCCTCGCCCAGATCGGCCGCCCTATTGCAGAGATATAGCGTGCAGAAGAAACCAGTATTTCAATTATACGGCAATCTTCGGTAGGCTATATATCAGACAATTAGAGCCAGATCGGTGAAGGGACAACTCTCCTAGGATTGCGAGGATCCAGACTGTCGATCGGTGTCTCGCCCAGATCGGCAGCCCTATTGCAGAGATATAGCGTTCAGAAGAAACCAGTATTTCAATTATACGCCAATCTTCCGTAGGCTATATCTCAGACAATTAGGGCGAGATCGGTGAAGGACCAACTCTCCTAGGATCGCGAGGATCCAGACTGTCGATCGGTGTCTCGCCCAGATCGGCAGCCCTATTGCAGAGCTATAGCGTTCAGAAGAAACCAGTATTTCAATTATATGCCAATCTTCGGTAGGCTATATCTCAGACAATTAGGGCGAGATCGGTGAAGGACCAACTCTCATAGGATCGCGAGGATCCAGACTGTCGATCGGAGTAAAAATCTCGACTTCGAAAATGAGGCCGATTTTCGCAAAATTTAATGATGTAACCATCATGATTTTGTACGAAAATCGTGAAAAAATGGATGTCCTTCATTCCGATTTCAGTCGATTGGCAGGATTCTCCCGATCACGGAAAGACATGCCTCGCCCAGATCGGCCGCCCTATTGCAGAGATATATCGTGCAGAAGAAACCAGTATTTCAATTATACGGCAATCTTCGGTAGGCTATATATCATACAACTAGAGCCAGATCGGTGAAGGGACAACTCTCCCAGGATCGCGAGTATCCAGACTGTCGATCGGTGTAAAAATCTCGACTTCGAAAATGAGGCCGATTTTCGCAAAATTTAATGATGTAACCATCATGATTTTGTACGAAAATCGTGAAAAAATGGATGTCCTTCATTCCGATTTCAGTCGATTGGCAGGATTCTCCCGATCACGGAAAGACATGCCTCGCCAAGATCGGCCGCCCTATTGCAGAGATATATCGTGCAGAAGAAACCAGTATTTAAATTATACGGCAATCTTCGGTAGGCTATATCTCAGACAATTAGGGCGAGATCGGTGAAGGACCAACTCTCCTAGGATCGCGAGGATCCAGACTGTCGATCAGTGTCTCGCCCAGATCGGCCGCCCTATTGCAGAGATATAGCGTTCAGAAGAAACCAGTATTTCAATTATATGCCAATCTTCGGTAGGCTATATCTCAGACAATTAGGGCGAGATCGGTGAAGGACCAACTCTCCTAGGATCGCGAGGATCCAGACTGTCGATCGGTGTCTCGCCCAGATCGGCAGCCCTATTGCAGAGATATAGCGTTCAGAAGAAACCAGTATTTCAATTATACGCCAATCTTCCGTAGGCTATATCTCAGACAATTAGGGCCAGATCGGTGAAGGGACAACTCTCCCAGGATTGCGAGGATCCAGACTGTCGATCGGTGTCTCGCCCAGATCGGCAGCCCTATTGCAGAGATATAGCGTTCAGAAGAAACCAGTATTTCAATTATACGCCAATCTTCCGTAGGCTATATCTCAGACAATTAGGGCGAGATCGGTGAAGGACCAACTCTCCTAGGATCGCGAGGATCCAGACTGTCGATCGGTGTCTCGCCCAGATCGGCAGCCCTATTGCAGAGCTATAGCGTTCAGAAGAAACCAGTATTTCAATTATATGCCAATCTTCGGTAGGCTATATCTCAGACAATTAGGGCGAGATCGGTGAAGGACCAACTCTCATAGGATCGCGAGGATCCAGACTGTCGATCGGAGTAAAAATCTCGACTTCGAAAATGAGGCCGATTTTCGCAAAATTTAATGATGTAACCATCATGATTTTGTACGAAAATCG